GAGTACGTCAGCGTGTTTCTACTTCCCAAACGCAGGTTTCACTTCTCGCACGCGTCACCTCTCACATTTCCCTCTTTTTACCTCGAAACACGTGAAAAAAAGAGGTTTTGCTCTCATTCAGGATCACACACTCCGTGCAGCAAATCCCCACCCGCAGCAAAACCCCAGCGCAGCACTGATGCAAAGGAGACAGCACATTTTTAAGAAGATTTGGGCTTTTTTTTTTTCCTCCCTTCATTTAAGAGGGTTTTTTTAATCCTTGCCGCTACCCAGTCTCCGCCGCCCCCCCCCTTTCCTTGAAGTGAGGTAGGAATTTCCCAGCTGCGTGCCCGTTTGAACACCCCATGAATCCGCATCCCGCGGAAGAGGAGCGAGCCAGGGAGGGAGCACGTAGGCAGCAGCCACGGCAAAGCTGCTTATGTGCCTCGGGGCCGGCAGCGTGGATTAGACACCCGCAGGGCTCAAGACATCTTAATTTGATCGTACAGCAGCGTCCCCCCCTATCTCCCAGGATGCACACGGCAGAGAAGTGCACCGGGGCAGAGAAGAACCGGGCGAAGCTCCGTCACGCAGCCGAAACCCTGCCGTGGTGGCTCAGATGGAGAGCAGAGCATCTTCTTTTAAATGGCTTGAATTTTGGAGGAGCAAAGCCCGGAGACATGAACGTGGCTGCACGGCCCCGGGGAAAGCGGAGTTGCCGGCCCCGAGGTGCCAGGGGTGAAGGCTTCTTATGTAGGGCTGGGCTCTGCATCTTGCACCAAGCTCGTTCACAGCCAGGTAAGAAAAATAAAATAAAATCTTCATTTACAGAGTGTTGGTGAAGGCTCAGTGGTGTGGAGCACGTGGTGGGAGAGCACGCAAGGAGCAATGCCAGAAGCCAGACAGGCAGCGAGGTGGTGACAATATCTGCCCAGGAACTGGGACAAACCTTCTGCATAAGGCAACGCACAGAAACACCCATAAGCAGGCGGCAGCATCAGGCCCTTCAGGGACGCCTGTTTCTGGTGCCCAAGCAGCAGGCGCAGGTTTTCTACCTCCTCTCCAACATCCATGAGATGAGATCCATTGATCTGCACGAGCCACCACCACGAATCCCCATCGGATGAGTCAAGCACAAGTAGCTTGGGATGGGACAGACTGTCTCATTGGCAGCCGCAGGTTGGCTTGGAGGACTGGAGCAACATCCATATGGACGTACCCAACAGTAGAAATGTTGAGACCGACCTGGACACAGGTTGAACAGGAAGGTCTGGCTGTGGGAGCGGCAGAAGAGATGGCAAAAAGTTGGTGGTGATGCACCGTGGGCAGCAGGTCCTCAAGCTTTTGGCTCGTGTCTACCAGCAGCTAGTTGGGACACCAGGGTTGAGAGACAACAGCCGGCGCACGAATCCTTTTAACTCACAAAGAAGGGGGACACAACGGAGTGAAAAACGCCACCAGCTCCTAAGAGGTACAACAGCGCCCATCCAAAACCGAAACATGGTCACCAACCTAAGAAAAGCTCACGAGACCTGACGAGGACACAATAGCTGCAGTCCCTCATCCTCAGTGTCATCGCAAGGAAACCTGGCTAGACCACTCGGGCACGAGTGTCTTGGCGCTTGTGAGTTTGAGGGGGTGTGATGGTGCAACCGCCAGAGCAAAATCCATTTTATTTAAAACCAAAATGCCTTCCCTTTCAGCAAGGTCTCCTAGCGAGCTCTGACAGCATTGCAACATTACTTCTACTACCAATCCAGATGCTTCTACTTACTGTATCTCAACCACGTCCTACAAGAGGAAGGCACCAGGTCTTCTCTTCCACGGCTGCAGGATCAGGAGTGTTTGCAGGGACCCCAGCAAGTGCCAGCGCTGGGGGTAGAAGAGGTGGCGTAACAGGATGACGCCAAAGCCGTGCGCTGGCTGCCGGGCTCCGCTTCGAGCTGCCTTCAGCGCCACGTGGCACAGAGCCCGGCTCCCAGGCTTCCTCCCCAGGGACCAGGCGCCCGCGCCGTCTCTCCACGCGAGATGTCTGCCAGGAACGTGACGGGGGGGTTCGCACACACGCGGTCTAGCACTGTTGAGCTCTTCCCAGCATTTTGCAGCACGCTCCTGTGGACACAGAGGTGTCCAGACCCATTGCTCTTACCTTTCAGCGAGTAAGCAACAGCAAAAACAGCAATAAAGACAGCAAAGGCGCTTCCCCGGGCTAATTTTGAAGGCATACAGCTGAATCCACGTCCCTTTTCTAACATCCTTTTGTACCCGATCATCTGTGACGACAACAGCCAGTTTATGCATCTTTTTATTGCCTGAGGGGCAGATTTAAAAGAAGAGTAAATAAAAGACAGTGGTGGAGATGTGCCATTTGGACGGGAGCACAGCGCCTGAACTCCCCCGTCCCAGGTGGACGGGCCCTCTGCTACTGTCCAGAAGCCTTCAGAAATCATAGAGCACCTTCAAAATAATGCAGATTTCCCTTTTGTGTTTTTCAGGTGTTTGCCATGGTCAGGAAAGCTAGAGTCAGACATTTGGAAACATTCCTACTTGCTTTCTCATAAAAGCTTGGACCCACAAGCAATCTGAGCTCGTTAGCAGGGATATTGGGAGGAAAACAGCTATTTCAATGGTTTGCTAAAATCATGAAAAGTGGGAATCAAGGAGCCCCTTGCATTTACCGGGTTACAGTACCGCTGTTTGCTGTATTGAGGCCAGGGCTGGATTTATAGAAGCATTCAGGATCTTTAGAGGAATACAGGCTGCCCAAGGGCTGATACTACTCCCATCATCCTGCATTGTTAGCGCCTTCCAGCATTAATTCATTTTTTTTTCCTGGTAGAGAAAAATCTCCTTCACAGATGGAGAAACAAGACAGGGGAAGACTGGCAAAAACATCAACCCCCCCCCCAAATTATTTTTGTGAGCGTGCTGCCTCTCCTTGTGCAACACGAGCCAGCAGAGGGGAGGAGGTCCTAACCCTGCTGTAAAGGATGCTTCACTCGAGAGGAGCGCAGCACCGTTGTTGCTCTGGCTTAGGATTGTCACAGCAAACTCTGTTCCGGGGACCATGGGGCGGGAATTTCTCACTCAAACAGAGCTCAGCATTATCTTAAATCCACCCTGGAGCACGTGGGTCGTGCATCAGACTGTGATGTGAGCACCAAAACTTGGGCAGAGCAAAACCTAGCTCGCTCGCCCAGTTATAGGCCTGATTTTTAGCATCTGCTGTCACCAAAACAGCAGAATCCCGTTGGTTTTTACATCTTGACACTACGTACAGGCAGAGGCGTGCCATGTTTCCACACAAAACCGATTTTATTATTCCAGATGGATACAAATAAACCAAACAGCTACAGTAACTCTTACCTTTATGCCTATTCCAGGCTGTTAGAGACTTACTGGCTACATTAAATATTAAGCTGTTTCCCTATACACTTCAAAGAGCAGGGTTTTTTTCTTTTTTTAAAGTTCAGTGGTGTTGAGAAGGCTGTCTGGAATAAGAAATGCCTCTTTCTCCATCTGATCCAGAGACCCTCGATGTCATCGCAAGGCTGAGGTCTTACTATTGATTTCAGCAGGCTTTCGGATCAGCTTAAGAGATTAGTGGAGAGCGGGTCCATTAAGGGCTATAAAAATCAACGATCCAGGTGTATCTTCTCCTTCGGGATGTCCGTTGTATGGAAACATTCCAGCAACAGCTAGGCAGACTCCAGGCAGTTCCAGTCATCTAACAGTGGCCCACAGGGCACGTTCCTCAGATGGTTATACTTCAGGGAGCTCCGGCCTCAGCTGTTTGGACGTGCTGGGTGCTGCACAAGAAGAGGTGAAGTTCAGCCCTGAAATGTGGAAGTGAAAGAAAAGCGGCTGTGAGGATGGAGTCAGTACAGGAGTGTGACAGCCCGGACCCATTACATCCGTTATCTTTTTGAGATAATCCTATTTAAAATATGTTTTCTCCTAAACATATTTCCCAAGTGTCAAGCTTAGTTTCTCTGCTCAATACTTGAGCAAAAATCCCGTCATTTTAAACAGGTATTCGCCTAAATCTGAATGGTTGTTAAGTGATAAATAACGTACCACGCTGAAATGAAACGTGCTTCTCTCTTTCCCAGTTGGTCTCATGCGCTGTCGTTTGTTTCCTGGAAAACCTGGATGACATCTGGCTTCCTCGCGAGCTGCCGTGCCAGTGTGCCCGTGCTATCCGGCGTGTCCTGTAGCCCGGCGCAGAGCAGGATCCGTGCAGCAGCCGCCTGCTGCCCAGCACACGCTGCGTGCAGGGCTGGGGGGGAAACAAAATGTTGAGACAGGAGCCGAGATTGCCCAGTGGGTTTGGCCTCAGCCCGCTTCAGACGCAAACATCGGATTCCCGGTGAAGGAAACCGAGTCAGCGGAGGGAACAGGTCGAGGGTGAAAAATGACTTCTCCCAGTTGCAACACCCGGCCAACTGGTGCGATGGTGCAGCAGGACTCAGCTGCCGCGACCATGCATACTACAGCAGCAGCGGGATGACTAAACCTGCCCAAGCAGGGGATAGATCCTCTTCCGCAACCAGCCACGCTGGTAGAAAAATGATCAGCCCGGCTTACCCCAGCTACTTCCCCCATCTTCCCCCCTCACAGGTTACTAGTCCCTCAATCCATCGAGCAGTACTAACCTGGCTGAGTCAAAGCTAAGCGGGTTTGCAAACATATTGGGAGTATTTAAGCCAGTCATGGGCAGAGGGTGCCCACGGCAGGAGGGGGAGGCTGTGGGACAGAGCAGGCAGAGCAAAAGGCTTCTGGGCTTCTTACTGCTCTGTGTTTGGGGTGGGTTTAACAGTGACGTGCAAGAGAGGGGCTTCAAACCATCAGAAAGGTTTCCATGCACCACATGGAAAGAGCATCCCACAGGAGGAGGCTGAAATACTCCAGCCTAAGCCCTAGTTTGTCCCGCAGACCCCTACAACAGCCGGCACGCTGATGCAGCGTGGCTCCAGCACAGTTAGGCAGTCCTGTTACGCTTGGCTTGTGTAGCAGGGTGAGCCAGCCTTGATCTCCTGGCCTAATCCTGCACAGGGGCGAGTACCTTTTACACTGAGGGTAGTTAGCTCCTGCTGCGGGCTGATGTTGGCCATGAGGCATCCCGATCCCCATGGATAATCCACGCAGGAGACTTTGCAGGAGCAGAGTCTGGGTGAGAAGCTCCCCAGGACGCAGCGACACTAACACAGCAATGGTGCCAGGGAACAGGGCAGCTGACAGGCACAAGGAGCCACCACAAATGTCCCAGGGTTGGACGAGTTCAGCAG